AATACAATACATTAAACGATGGCTACTACTTACAATCAAGCGGGCCGTTAGCTTTTTGCCATTACTACTGCTATTATGGTATTAAGTAACCTAAATTTACTATAACTTTTTATATTATTAACGATAATAATGTTTTTATAGAAAAACATTAAATCCATAACACTGACAATATTATCTGATTACATTAATAATGAGTGCGTAGCGACTTCTATGTTGATTATCGCATGCCTCTTACTTGTTATACTGTAATTATTTATATAAAAAAACATCTATTAAAAAAAGCAACACACAAGTTTCTTGCTCATTCTTCTTGTGATGAATCTGCATTCCGAATGAGTGGTAGAATCAAAATATGACTATTCAAAAGTGCTTGTAATGAGTTTATTTGAATAAAGATTATTTCTATTTCTATTTCTATTTCTATTGGCCAATTAAAGTTACATAGAATAAATAAATAAATATCAGTTATATAAAAAAAACTAGCTTTAGATTGTTCTATGGCCATCTGTGTTTTGTAACATCAATTTTGCAAACTGTACCGGCTCATAAAATTTCTGTTGCTATAGATATGTTCGTTAATGTTACTAGATAATGATAGATGGCGTGGAAATAAAGTTGTTTGGTATTTAATATTTAGACAACTGTGCGTATGTGTGTGTGTGTGTAATTACGAACACTTTAAAATTTATACACACTTTTTTTCGATAATGACGGAATGGAGATTTCACTGTTCATCATTTTCGCATATATCTATACATACAAATAAAATTGGAGTGTCTGTTTGTAATATTGAAATAACCGTTTTTTACTACATGCATATGAATATAAATACGGTACATACATTAAAATAACATTTTTTACAATTTTTGTATCTCTGCCTGTCTGTTTGCTAATCTCTGAAACACAAGTTTCTTGCTCATCTTCTTGTGATGAATCTGCATTCCGAATGAGCGGTAGAATCAAAATATGACTATTCAAAAGTGCTTGCAATGAGTTTATTTGAATAAAGATTATTTCTATTTCTATTTCTGAAATGGCTGGACCGATTTTGACAGAACTTGTTTTGACAGGTAGCTGATGTAATAAAGAGTAACTTAGGCTACTTTTATTTTAGAAAAAAAAATATATTTTAGAAAAATGCGGACGAAGTCGCGGGAACAGCTAGTTACAAAATATACTTTTGTACTGTCTATACCTGTAGATATTTTAAACAACTTAACAGATTTTCAGCAGTAGGTATATACTTACTGCTGAAAATTGCATTAAAATGTATCTGGAATCATTTACAAACAGGAAAATTAAAAAATAATTACAATACGAAGCGGGGACGGTTCGCTAGCATTCTATGAGCAGTTACTTTTCATACAATGGGACGTCAATTTGTTTGTCATTCTTTATAGAAGAATAGAATAGAAGAATAGAAAATCATTTATTCAAATAAACTTAATTTAAGCACTTTTGAATAGTCAACATTTTTTTAAATCTACCGCTTATTCGGAAAGCTGTCTCATCACAAGAAGAATAAGCACTTGTGTGTTGCTCTTTTAAACAATCCTTGTAAGTTCACATATTACAAGTCGAAACGTGTGAATACAAACTACCAACCAGCACTAATTTATTTAGGCTCAAATATAAAAACACAATAAGATTAAATCAGTCGTAGTGATAAGAGCAGACCAGTCCCTACAAGCAGCACTCGTTCACGAGTATGACGGATGAGCCAGCCATCACTGCGCTCGACCATATTTTAGGGAGCCCAATGACCCGGCCCACCACGCCGCCGCATGTCTGGACATTTTAGTGAGCATGACTACTCATTCCACTCGACCACGTCACAGCTACAAAAATTACTATATGGTAGTTACAGTATTCGCACTTTACATGAGGATGCATGCGGCAATCAATACAAAAGCCGCTACGCTATCATATATCAAGAAAGCAGTATGAAAAACAAATTATAATGTTGTCCGCAAATAAACTTATACTTGCTATATATTGTTATCATCTATAAATTCATCTATCCTATAATAAGCTTTTTAATATGGTATAATTGTACTACTTTAATTGTATATTATTGTTGTAATTATAAACAAATATTTAGTAAGTTTAACAATGAAAACTTCTATTATCCCAGGACAGTTCTCACAACGCCACCTAGTCCCAAGCTAAGTAGAGCTTATATTATGTGTTGGTACTAGACAACTGTTCTAAAACAACACCCATATAACTATAACAAAAAATAAATACTTCTTTACCTCGTATTACCGTCTATTCTGTTATATAAAACTAGCTTTTGCTCGCGGCTTCGCTCGCGTAAATTTATCCCTTTAGGGGTGGAATTTATGAAAATCCTTTCTTAGCCTACGTCATAGTAGCTTTATTGGGAGCGTTGGATATATCTGTCTATACATTAGATTCCCACAATAGAAAAATACCTTCTTCTCCATGTATATTTATACCTCATTATGCAACAAAGTGTCACAATGTGTCTATTAATAGAACCTGAGAAGTTACATAGTAAGGTCCACGAGTCAGAATTCGGAAGTGAATGCAGGTCCCAAACGGACTACATAATCCACCGACCATGAAGGTATTAAGTAACCCCTTATTTGCAATGTGTACCGTTCATTATTCTTTAAATGCATCTAGTTTTTAAACGTATGTAAAATTACGTCAACATGCATTTGAAAAATAGCTACTCGCAGTTACGTCTTATGACTGAATTCTATTATGTTACGTAGTAATGACAATCGTCTGTATTTTATCACAGAACGCGTAGTGACTATTTTTTAATCTGTGGCTCAGTTGTAGTATCTATCTGACTATTAGATGATGATGGAATGATCGATAAGGACCATACCGTCAGCAATCCAAATTATTTTTAATTATAGTACAATATAAATAAGCGCATATTTCATGCAGAAAATATAGCCCCTTCTCAAATCTCCAAAAAACAATGTGTATTTTTGTACAATAGAATATATATTGTTATTAGATAGGTACATCTGCTTATCTAATAAAGTTAAAACCTTCACTTCAAACTTTTAAACGCTATCATATCTAAATTACATCAAAAATCTGTCCAATACGGGGATTCAAACACATGTATGTAAAGAAAGAATGTTCATTGCATATAATTCTTATATATAGTAACGCTTTTCACTTTTCACTTTAGTATTGAATATATATTGTTAACAATAACCACATGGAACTTGTTCAAAGGGTCTAGGTCGTCCCTTTAAACAGGATCTAAATGTAAAAAAATATTATATGCATGCCTGTATAATTAAATCAATAAATAAATAGATAACAAAGTGATGATACTGTCCTAGCCGTTCCGGATACGGCGAACGCTTCAAGAACTCCCACGCCTTTCATGTGCCCTTATGTGACTAACATATTCTTATGTAACAAAGTATCTCGTACCTAATCTACTGGTGTATAGTATGTGTGATAAGTCTTAGATAATACCATGAACAGCCAAATTCCATGAACTATTGTATATATATATAATTTTCTTTTATGATAGAATTGTCATTAAATCCAGATTATATATATATAGATACATATTCTGTCCTAGACCCTATGTTTCCTTTTTGTTGATGATAGAAATGTCGTTCCGCTTATGCAGGTGATATATTCCAATTAATGATATAGAATAGATGTGTGTGAAACCGTGCAGTCAACGTTAATCGTTGCGAATTGACTACGAACTAAACACGACAGTTTCTAGAATCGTTATGATACTTTGCAATGAGCTAGTGCCAATTACTAAAAACCCTTTCGCCTAGACCGCGAGACTAGTAGTCATCAAAGAAAGCTTTTATATCCTATTACATGTGTGATTCAGTAATGAGTGTTTCTGTATGCTTATATAATATAATTATGATCTAATTTGTGGCTAAATCTTTTGATGGCTGCACACGACGAGTGAAAGGCTGTTATAACACACTTTTTAGCTGCTACCTTATTGTAAAAAATACAGTCAAATTAAAATCGTCCACTGCAGCGTCTGTTTCCGTTATTTGCAGATTTCCTGCGGTACATATCAATACTTTTACCAGATATTTAAGTCTTTTATAAGTCAACGATTAATTCTAATAGAAATAAATGTATTATCAGGTTAGTTTTTTTTTTATGAAACTACATGAAATATTTTTAAATAGATATTCTTTAAACCGAATGTGATGTGATATTTTTTAAATGTAAATTGTCCATCTATACTTCTAATTTGTAAAATAGGCAAAATTTATCTAAATAAATATAGATAAGGTATCACATTATCACGATATACCAATAATTTTTTCTCAAATAAGTACTAATATTCTGACATTTGTAATCATTTAAAAGTTTTCAATTATAAAATATTTAATGATTACAATTTAAATATTTTAAATAGGTTTCTGATACGATATCTGTCGATTTATAACAAGGATATAAAGTCGTGTAAAGAGTTCAAATGGCCGTTAAACTCTTTACATGACGTTATATTTTCCAACTTGCTATAAAAACTAATAATATTAAATTGATACTAAACATCAGTTAAAATCATTTTTACAACCGTAAACGCATTGTTAAGTATTTATAATAATAAAATGGGACCTTGGTAACACAAGCTTCTCACATCTGTTTGAGTATTGACGATATCCACTTTCCTGCAAGTGAAACTGCCAATACACACCTGTATTGATTACTCAAGATCATGTTTCCTGCGGATAAACATATGCCTGTTTGTATCACATGGCTTTTATAACAAATCGGCATGCAAATGGTGTATGGTCGTAACATTACATTTCACCTCCTCGCATATATTACAATTCTCCACACAACATTCACAGGATTATATAAACAAACGGTACTTTACTGTAACAGCTTTATTTAAACAATAACAATCCTTAGAAAATATTTCTATTAATAAATAAGCTATCCTATCTATATATACAGAAATTCACGATGCATTAGCGTACACATAGCGTAAGTTTCCAAAACGGTGGTTACACATCTAATTTGTCGTAATACAAAATACGCTTTTCACTAATAACGAAACCAGTTTTAAGTATGCGGCAAATAACAACTAGTTAATAAGTTACACCAGGCGCCAAAATGAAAGCACTTCTATGAGTGCTCGACATAATCTTGGAATAGCGGCCAACCGAGTGGCCGTAAAGGTAATTAGCAGAACGTACGCAAATAAATAACAACAAAGGTACTTTCTCAACAACACACCTATGCTATCTCTATCTAGACCACAGCTTATAAACTCAGCGTCATTCTTTCCTATTTACAGTAACATAACTCTCACACTTACAACTTTGATTCATTCGTTTCGTTTATTGGGCGCGGGGCTTGAGTTCTTCGCTGTATTTAATTGTGTTATATGTGTTCTCACTGTAGGATCCTTCTGCGTCCTGAGCTGAACCGTAACGATGGTTCGAGGATCCATGACCGCCGAATCCGTATTTAGGTCCTAAGGAATAAGAACTCAGCGAGCTATGGCTAGACAAAGGTGCTTTGTATGATGAACTTCCTTGGCCAAAGCTATGATATTTCGAAGATGGTACATAGTATTGAGGCTTTGAAGAAGAAGCAGCGTGAGCATTGTTAGAGTGTCCAAAGGAACCTGAGGGTAACCCATAAGTCGTAGCAGATGGAGAAGCCGAGTGACTGCCAGATGAAAAACTACCAATAGATTCTAATGATCCGTAACCGGCAGATTTTGTGGGTGAGTAAGAAGGTGCAAGGAATTTTGTGGAACCACTACCGAAACCCCCATACGAACCACCGAAACTTGCACCGTGACCTCCGGAACCAAGGGACAAACCGTGACCGCTTCCACTTAAACTACCGAATGATGGAGCACCGTGTGATCCAAGGCTAGCTAAACCATGGCTGGAGTCTCCTTGTAAAGAAGATCCTATGTAAGTGGATGGTTTAAATGAGGTTTTTGTCGGAAGAGCATAACCACTGCTTAAACTTTTATAAGGTCCACTGTATGACTGTCCAGATCCACCAAGAGAAAGGCTACCCAGGGAGTGTCCAGAACTACCAAGTGAAAGAGAACCTTCGCCATAGGATTGTCCTGAAACGCCACCAAAGGAATGTCCAGCACTGGGAGCAGCACCATAAGATAACCCTGCACTAGATGCATCACCGAAAGAAAGGCCAGAGCTGACAGCAGGATAGCTTAAAGCGGCAGAGCTGGCATGGGTATCTGATGGGGTGAATAATACAGGTCCAGTAGAGCCATAAGAACCGAGACCTTTTGTTCCAGCTGCATAAGAAGGTACGCTTGAAATTTGCTGTTCAGGAAGACTGTATTGTTGAAGACTTGGTGATGCGTAAGTGTACTGAGGAATAGCAACCTCCTGGCCACCGTGGTCAAGTTGTTGAAGGCCAGCATATGATTCTACACCAGCAGTGGGTTGCAAGTTATAAGCTCCAGAGGTAAGGCTTTGAGAGAGCTGGCTCATGAGTTGCGAAAGATCACCAGCTGCAAGTCCATGATTGGGTTGTAATGTGATTGGGGGCAGTTTCAATGTGGCATGGCCACTGGACTGCAGTCCTTCTGATGGATACTGAAGGGCAGCGCTGGCACCATGACTTCCAAAACTATAACTAGGCTTAGCTCCTCCTACACTGTAGCCTGCTCCAATGCTGATTGCGCTAGCACCATCTTGGCTGAATGAGGGCGCCTGGTAGTTATGGCCGGGCAGACCACCTCCTGCATACCCGAGTGCAGCTTCCCTCTTATCCTTTGGATCTTCGGCTTTCTTTAGTTTAAGTGCCCATGACATTGATACACTTAAAAACCCGATGAATACAATCTGAAATAGAAAGAAAATATTAGATTAACATATGATATCTAAAATCGTATATTATATAATTTCTTTCTATCCGCAGAATGATAATTAAGTAAGAGACAGCGTTTACATAATAAAATTTATATTTATGGAGTTTGTTTCACTTTCGTTAATGCAAATAACTTAAAGGGAATCCCAAACAGGTTTAATTATCGGAATCACACCGCCACCATTGCCAAGTTGACGGACCCGCATGACGCTGTTCAAGATTAAGCCCACATTATAATTTGATTTCACTTTTACTACTTTTACTCACACAGGCATGTTTACCTGCTGACTGTTACACATCTGCTTGTAATTAAGAGCAATCAAAGTCATTAATGAGATTAATATGGTGTTGCCACTGGTATTTATGTAGTTGTAATTGACCATACAATACTATGGCATTCCAAGATTCAAATCTACTTTCCCACCTATAACATTTTAATATTTGCACTGTATTGTAATCATGTATGATTGAAATGCTTTGATATTGCTGTAAATATTACTGTTAATTAATTTTCAAAGTTTTATTACACGAAAAGAAGCAAAAAATGTATAACAATATTAGATAAAGAGTTTGCAACTGCGAATTTATTCCTATTAGGATTTTCTTTCAAACCCCCTAGACTCAACTCTATAATCTATCGTTTTACAAAACAAAATTTAAAATATATTTTTATGTTTAGTCTATGGCGATTATTTTATTACGCCCCGTAATGAAATATTCGCAACATTAGTCAGTGATTATAATGACTAATTTGAAATTTAACGTCAATTCATACAAAATAATTGATGATTGATTACATTTACAGATACAATTGATTATACTAGTAATGGGATGAACATTATCATCGGAGCTTTTATCACAACGTAATAAACCTGATTAAACACTGTCGAATGCGAATTTCCGAAATCGGTAACACTCAAGCACTCACTGTGATATCACTTCCACAAAGCACACACTCACCGTGAATTTCATTTTGGATGCTTATTGACAATGCCGGGCACGTTGGAATTAAACCACTACACAAGTATTATACACGAGATAAACAAATTTAAAACGCACCGGTCGGCTGCTTCGAACAACCGCCGAATTTATAATGTGATGCCTCAGTGTTTTCACCAAATTTATAAGTGAGCGAATAGTGGTGTGCACCCGCTGACGCCGAGCGGACTCACTGGGAGGGTAAAAGTGTATCTGAGGACCCTTTCACTGCACGGGCTGAAAGAATGGGAGCGACCATCGGGCTTCTGAACCCAACAATGAGGTAATAGAGGCCGGAAGTATTGCGTCACGAGTCGATCACGGTTTGGTGCACCTATCGGCACAGATGTCGCGCGATCGTCTTTTGATTGTATCGTAGATAGAGAATAATACACCTAAGATGAAGCATGGCAGTACAGCAACCGAACTAGTTTACTGTTTTTAGTTTTGACTGGTTTTAATCCTAAAATGATTATTGTTGAGCGTGTCCATCTTGACAGTATTAAAGGATTATCATGAATGATTACGAAATATCAAACTAAAGAAATGCTGTACGCTGCATTTTGTGTTATTATGTCAATATACTTGTACCTTTGTTATATTTTGCACAATAATCAATGGATATTGAAATCGGACAGATTCTAATCACAATACAAATAATAGATCCTATGTTGTAATGTATACCTCATTGATGACATACTTTTTAAGTATATACGAATAAAGCAACATTTAGAAGAATTAAAAATAAACTACCAAATTTTAGACTTATTTAGAAGTTTTGATACGTTTGATTACGACAAATTATTTTTTTTCAATATTCAAATTCAAAATTTCTTTATTCATGTAGATCTATTACAGACTTATGATATGTCAAATCTACTAATAGTTAATATACGTATACTTTTGGTCTTTTTGAAATATTTATTATGTATAACAAGTTGAAATCTTTCATAAACGACTGCCGAAATAATTTGATTGACAAGAACAAAAGCCATGTCTTTCTCCAATCTGAATGAAATTTATTGAGGTACTAAGAAGCAGTAAAGGATCTCACTTTCACGCTTATATTGTTATTAACAAGGACTATTATTCTACTTAAATAAGCAATGCTGTACTTGCATATGCAACGGATATTTTTACTGCTCCAATGTTGTTTCAATCAGTTTAAATCAACTCGATAATCAATATCCGCTATTAAGAATACATTATATAGAATCTATAAAGTTTCTCCGCAACTGTCAAGTGACGAGAGTAGGTTATGGTCATTCCCTGATTTAGTAATCATAGTAAAATGACCTAATAATAGCAATATGTCAGAAGTAGACTGTATAAAGTCGTCTCGCCTATTTTGGCCGCCAAGTAGCTTGCTTTATAACCAATGTTGTAGTGCGCAATTAGTGAAATTACAGGATAAGAGGCATGACATCTTAGTCATCTGGAATAGCAATTCATCAGTGATATCACGGGTGTCACATGATAACGTGATGTCCATAGTGCTGTTCATGTATAAGGTATAGGCCATAGCCGCTTACTATCAGGTGGGTCAGCTTATTTACAGTTTTTGAAAATAAAAAAAAAACAAATATATCCTATACTTCACAAAATATACTTTCAATCAAAACTCTTAATTTTAACATAAATTTAAAATTATTGTTTACTGCTATTACAGCACGGCTTATTGAGGTTACTAGTGACCTGAGAGCTGGTAGCTACTTTGCACAGAAGGTAAGTATGGTTATTCAAAGAGGGAACGCTGTTAGTATCTTGGATATACTGCCTAAATGTGCCACGTTACATTACAATAATAGTTTTTTAAATATATATAATTGTTTGTAAAAAAATTATGAAATAAAAATATATTTATTGACCAATACATTAAGATCGTAGTTTGCAAAGATTTCACGAAATAATCTCAGTAAAAAGTCATTCGAATTTTTAATGAGCCGAAAGATGCAAATTTAATAGTCACTATTTAACGGCATATATCCGGCTAGAAACGCTTTATCATAGACAGATGTACACTATCCTACCTAATATTGATAATATGAAAGTCGTAGTTCTTGACGGTCGCATACGTACACATTCTGAGATAACTACCATGACTAAACCTAAGTAGGAAACTTCTTAAAATAACGATAGGAAGAATAACGGACCACAGTTCTATAAACAAACACTTGTACCTACACAATATGTGCTACAGACAGTCCTCTTTGTCGGGGCTGCTTTAAAGAGGAAAAAACAGCCACCACGTAATTCTGGAGTACGTAACAGTGGCTATACAATGCATACAAATCCTCGGAATGATGAGGTCACTCCGTGAAGCGTGGGAAACAACCAGGAGGGTTTTGCGCCTCTGGATGGAGCTTTGCTAGCTACTTTAGTACTCTCAGTCTACACACACAACGTCCCAGATGATAGGCTAAATGCGGAGAACAGAGTTAATATTACATTGCATCTACCGTGACAGTCTTTTTAATAATAATTATAATCTGTGTGGTATACGCCACAAAGCGTAAAAAACGAGCAAAGGCTGAGAAAATAAGACAACAATGAAAATAATACTAATCTCAGGACGAGTCACACAGCGCCCTCTATACTAAAACTAATCTAACTAAAGCTTGTGCTATGGGTAACTATTATGATATGTAGGATAACTGATACGAATACACAGATTTTTTTCGTAAATACATTCTTAGTGTACATTGAAAAACCCAGACCGATACAATACGATTGATATTGTCTGGAATGTGTACCTATTGTATAAATAATATTGTAACGATCCTTCTGAATTTAATAAAGATTATTATTATAATTAAAAAAAAAATCATACTCACGAAAACAAATGTTGGTGCCGTGCGAGGAATCGAACCTGAGACAATTATACCTAGCAATTTTATTTTATCTTTTAAAAAGTACCTACTTCCATCATTGTACCCGTGTGAAGTTGCATTTAGCTAGGCTGTTAAATTATGCTTAACAAACAAAGTCTATCAATATATAAACTTCCATTTTGCTTTATATAAATTTCTTTAATCATAATATTACTACGTGAAACAATAACTTTGTATGTCTTACGAAAATTTCGCATTCTTATAGTATATATAGAGAAGAAGTGCAAAATGCTAATATTTTTTAAAAAGTACATTAAATCAATAAAATACATTACACATTACCTTTATTTACACATAATACATTACATATTATATGTATTTGACACACAGAAGTATAATTTTTAAAGTTATAATTTAAATTAATTATGATCGAATTTCGACCATTGGCCTACCAATCAAATTCAAAATATCTTCATTGATATAGGTCTATTACAGACTCTTATGATATGTCAAATCTACCGTCAGTTCGGAGTGATTTCGAGATGAGAAGACCTAACAAGAAACTCAGCTCGTATTCTTTTCAAATAAATGTTGTACATGTTTAAAATAATAGTGGTTCATTTAAATTAAAATTTTCACTAGTCTATATAATTACGACCTCGGTGGTCTAGCGGTCTAGCACACCGCTTTACGTCCGATGGTCCCGGGTTCGATTCCTCGCACGGCATAAACATTTGTATTCATAAGTATGATTGTTTGTATCGGTCTGAGTGTTTTCTATGTATAATATGTATGTATTTACAAAAAAAAATTTTTCTATGTACTTGTATCAGTTATCTAGTACCCGTAACACAAGCTTTAGCTAGCTTAACTTGGGACTAGATTGCGCTGTGTGAATTGTCCTGAGATTATATTATATAGATTATATAAACAAAGGTATAATATATATTCATATTTATGTTAGTCCGTAAGGTAGCCTGAATTAAATAAAATAAATAAACTTCTGTAGACCTACAAGATCGATTAGGCAATTAATCACACTGTCACATCTCACAAGCTGCATACAAAGTACCTACATAAGGCAAATGAAAGTTGACTGCAGTCTGCAACACAATAACATACATTATGTAAATATATCGCTACTAACTCGATTATTTAATACTTAATAGTCGCTTCAGATATGTTACTAGCTTTTGCCCGCGGCTTCGCTCGCGTTAATACATCCCCTTAGGGGTGGAATTTATCAAAATCCTTTCTTTGGGAATGCTTACGTCATAGTCGCTTTATGCATGCAGTCTCAGCCCGGTCGGTTTAAATTTGACAAAGTTTGATACAAACTTTCATCCCGTATTTTATCTCCTTGGGGGTAGAATTAATCAAAATCCTTTCTTAGCGGATGCCTACGTCATAACATCTACCTGCATGCCAAATTTCAGTCCGATCCGGCCAGTGGTTTGGGCTGTGCTTTGATAGATCACTATGTCAGTCACCTTTGAGTTATATATATTTAGATATATTAATATGTGATCTCTAGGATCCATAACTCAATATGAATACAATATTTTTTTATGGATGATAATGGAATGGTGCATCAGCCTACGCTAACGGTTTACGCCAGCGGGGTAACAGTGGAGGATGATGAGATGAACATGAGGTCAGGCCAGTTAGCCCATCGTGACAAATTCACCAACAATTTATCATGATGGTTTCCAGGGGGAACCGCGTGGAGGTCAACCTGACATGGTACATTGCTAGCAATATGATCATCAGTCCACATTACTAACAATCCCCTTTCCCCTCATCTATGTATATTATGTCCGTATGTAAAAAATGTATGTAAGTATTTATATCAGTTGTCTTGTACCAACAATACAAGATTTGCTTAAGTTGGGGCTAGATGGCGCTATGTAAATTGTCCTATTATTAAAAGTACTGGTGAAACGTAAGTACCACGCAGAATTTACAAAGTCTGTCTCGGTTAGTTTGTAAAATTATTTACTACCGCGAGTGGATACTAAAACAATTAGATAATTACATATTCATATACAGACGTCCATATTCATTAATCATAATAACTTAATTTTCATGTGTGGTCTCCATTTAACGCTGTGTAGTTATGTTTTTAACTCGGCTGTACAAAATTTAATTAGTAAATAAAAAAAA